GCTTTAAAATGTGACACTGACACTCCCTATACAACGTTGATCCTCTTGTCCATAACTTCTCTCTCTATCTCTCTATCACTCTTTAGAAAACGTCAAACACCAAAACACACACACACCCAAAAACACACACCAAACACACACACACATATATACATATATATATATACATATATATATATATATATATATATATATATATATATATATATATATATATATGTATGTATGTATGAATAAAGACAATAAAAACTTATCACAACCGACGCAAAGTTAGCTTGACAAAGTCCCAAAGAGGCCGAAGCGCTTCAGCTAAGATAAAATTTACATTCGTCTTTATTCATATTGTCTTTTTTTTAGATAGACTATATCTGAAATTTTCGCGCGCGCTCGCACAAAAGCACATGCATGCATAAAAAAAGTGAAAAAAAACAACTTTTCATGTGAACAGTTTCATCTCTTACAACTTTATCAGGCTAAAAAGATGCGTTTTTTTTTATGTAAATGAAGGGCTCGGAATACTGAAATTTCAAATGTTTTCTTTTAAATATATGTTTTGGCTATATAAACTAGCCAATATTTTACTTACTTTTTCTTTTTCTTTATGGTTTTTATCCCTTTTGTTATTAGATATCAAACATTGTGATAACGAGATTTGCTAAAAAGGCGATGAATTGTAAGAAACTGACGTTCATTTGCTGTGAATGATCTAGCGTTTAAAATACTTTTTTAGGACTTTTGTCTTACTAAATTGCCTTCTTTTTTAATTAACACAGCATTTCTTAAATCAAAATTCAAAAGAAATTTTCCACTTTTTCATATATTTTCTTAAATTTGTTCCGTATATATATAAGCACATTTGACGTTCTGATATATATATATATATATATATATATATATATATATAATAATAGTAATAATCAATAAAGTCAAAAATTCCTCAAATAAGGAATATCTTATATCGGCAGACGAAGATATTGGTCGTCTGTCATATCAACCTCTGACTGAGTTTATTCAGATAGTGGGGTGGGGCAGGATGTAGAAATTAATTGCGAAGCTAAAAGAATCCTAACCCTAAGCAAAAACAGTATACAGCTCTTTCAAAAAAAAAAATTGAAGGAGAAAGACTTTAGTCCATTGACAGTATTGGAAATTATAGAATCCACACGTACTCTTAATAGTCTTAGAGATAGGTCTGACTTATGTATAGTAGAAAAGATTAGAATAATAAAATGCAACAATCAAAGATAAGTATTGAAGCAGAAGAATGAATAATTGTTGACATGTCGACATAAAAACAAATTTAATTTTTCATAATATAGGTTTAAACTAATTATTTCCATAATATTCACTCCTATCCATTACATCATTTTTTTTATATATTTTAAATTTATTTTTAGACAGCATTTTACTCCTATTTTAGATTAATATTTTATTCTTCATATAATACCAAATTAATGGCATAAGATTAATATTCGGGTTTAATGTTATAAAAATTCTTCCCTTTAAGACAAATAATTTACACGCTCTCCTGACTTCACTTGTGCATTTCGTCTGACTGAAACACTGAAATGGATAAATTCTGAATTAATTTCTCGACAGGTTGATTTTGTTTTAGCTTTCACTGTTAAATTCTACTTCCTGCCCGTCACCTATCTATATAGAGACCAACTTTGAACACAGCGGGGTTGATATGACAGACGACCGATATCTCCCTCGGGTAAAATAAGCTATTCCCATTTAAGTTAGGATTTTATTGGTTATTAATTATATTGCTCTGTAATAATAAATAAATTTAGCTCTTTGTGTGGATCGGTTTTAATATTTTATATTACTAGGATCCACTTGGATTATATACCAACGGATTTGTTAACTTTTCTATATATATATATATATATATATATATATATATATATATATATATATATATATCCTCCTGAAATTATCCATACAGATTACCAATTAACTGTATCATATTATATATATATATATATATATATATATATATATATATATCCAGCATTTAAATTTGCTTCATTAAATAATATACATATATTTTGTCTATTTTTATACTGATCCGTTACAGTTCTCTGTTCAGTTTCTTGACGTTAAGATAAAATTTAACAAGAGGAAGTACCCGTAGTTACAGTTTTTTGTCTTTTAAATCAGCCCTATATATATATATATATATATATATATATATATATATATATATATATAATTATTTATTTAAAAATATGATTCCAAATCGCTACATAAGAGGTCTCATGTTTTGGTGTTCTATTTGTTTCCTTCAGGTGCCAAAAAATAAGAAGGAAACAAATAAGACACAATTCAAAAGTTAAATGGAAAATCATTGATAAGGCTAGAACATGTAAAGCTTGGGATGACCCATGCCTTTTTGTGCCCTTTTGAAAAATTACACATTATTAAACTTAAATAATAATAATCTATTAAATAATAGACACGAGTTAACGGTTTTTGTAGGCATCATCAGTTTTTTTGGTTTGAATCATTAGTTAAAAAAAAAAAAATTATAATAACTTGTTTAACAAATAGCCCAATCTTCAGATTCATAGTAGGAATAATTAACTACAAACATGCATACAACATAACACCCTTCATAATCCATAGCCCAAATAAGTAGTTTAAATACCTTACATAATAGATAACCCTTTATAAGTCGTCAAAAAACAAACGTTACGAAAATTTTTCTTTTATTTTATATGCACAGTCCCCTTTCGTAATAAAATAAAATAAATAAATAAATCTCCATAGACAAACAAACTAGACGAAGGTTAATACATCTTCCGTTTCATTTTTGACACCCCCACCTTTCCCCCGACTTGACATCTTGAAAGTATCTCTATACCGCTACTTATCATTAACACCCTACACTCGCCTACCCAATTTAAACAATTCGCCCTTGCTGTTACCATGGAGATTTTGATTTCAATTTTTAAAACAAGTAAATTTCAGATATACGTTATTCCAACAAAAATTTCGCTTGAAGATGGAACGGAGCCCATTTTAATTTAAACTCAATTTAATTTACAGGATTATATTGAAGTTTTCGGCTCTTGTTTTGAAACATGAGACCTCTTATGTAGCAATTTGGAATCATATTTTTAAATAAATAATTATATTTATGCTCTACTTTTGTATCGAGCACTATTTTTTTAAAAAAATAATAACTAAAATACTAAGGGACTTTGGATTATTTACCTAATCTGTTCCTTCCTATTTTCTATATATATTTTCATATATATATATATATATATATATATATATATATATATATATATATATGTATGTATGTATGTATATATATATTCAACTCGTTAAAACAATGTTAAAAAAAACAGTTAAAAACTATATATATATATATATATATATATATATATATATATATATATATAGTTTTTAACGGGTTTTAACACACACACATACATATGTAGTTTTTAACAGGTTTTTAACATTGTTTTAGCGAGTTGAAATATATATATATATATATATATATATATATATGCCATATATATAATGGTTAGTTAAGCCTGTTTCGCTAAAAACAATTAAGACTGAATAGTGAGTTATACATTGTGCCACATCAAACTACGCTTAGAAAATCTATATATATTCATGTATAGATATGTATGTGTGTATTTACAGTATATATATATATATATATATATATATATATATATATATATATATATACGTATATATATATATATATATATATATATATATATATATATATATATATATATATATATACCCTGCCAATTAACACATATAGTGTATAGTATATGTGAAAATGAATATATATAGTTGAAAATATTTTGTGTTTATTTTGATTGCGATCGATTATAAATATTCCAGAATATACAATGAAAAGTAAAAAGAAATGCTACTGGGATTGTGAAATTGTCACTGAAATGCAAATTTGGTTTAAAAGGAAATTTCAAAGATATTCTCATACGCGACTCACCGTTGGTCGTATTAGGGATATATTTGAAACTGTTCAAGATGCCAATAAACCTTCATCCCGGAAGATTGCATGCTTTCTAATGACCTACAGAAAAAGAAGGATTAACGGAAATTTACATTTGATCCCAAAGTAAATCCACTCGTGGGATAGGCATTTCAAATGTTCGCTTGCTCGTAATTCGAAACGCAGCCGTTGAAAATGTTTTATTCCAGAATTGATTCAATTTCTTAGTGAAGATAATCCAAGCAAAATAGTTGAATTTTGTATGTGGTAACATGCGTTAAGATAAAAACAAAAAAACAAAAAAACGACTCGATGTAGAGGGTTTTTTAGCAAGCGGCATTGTTTTGCTGGTACGTGGGGAAGATACCAATTAACCATCTTGGAGGTTGTTTGCCACAAAGCTGCGGTTTGTTGGAAGAAGGGAATGTGCCAGTCATGAGTATAGGTAGATATGAAGCTTAGAATTGGTGGCATCAAGAATTGTAGTTCTTCTGAACATTTTCCATGGAAATAGCGATAGATTAGCAAATGGTATGCAAAGTTACGTCTGTACAAATGTGGTTGTTTGAAGGAAAATAATTTATGAGCGAAAAGGACGCAGAGAGGACTTTGAACTCTATCAAATCTATAAATTGAAGAGCTATTCAGAGCGCTTATAAAGATGCAATAAATGAAAGAAGTGGCAATGGTTGTTGGTTTCCCGTTTACGAGGTGAAGAATTCAGTTTAAACGACTAGCAAAAAGAAGGTCGTCAAACAAGTCTTGATTCCGATGAGTTGGAAGCTGTTGTAACAAACAATCCCACCATTATTTTGAGGGAACTTGCAGAAAAATTTAACGTATACCATAAAACCGTGCTGCGCCAAATAAAATGACCGGAAAATTTTTCAATGGTTGTGAATCACACACGAAATGTCTCCACCGAATCTGCAACAACTTGTTTTTTGTTATGAATCAGTGCTTTCACGACACCTTTAGGAACCATTTTTAGATAAGCTTGTTACAGGTGATGAGAAGTGGACCCTTTACCATAACGTTAAACGCTGTTGATCAATCGAGGTCGAAGATCTGTTCAACAATCAAGTGGCGGATTTCCTACAAAGAAGGTCATATTGAGTATATGGTGGGATATTGAAGATTTTAATTATAAATAAATTAACGACTAAAAAGAACGAAGTTCCAAAAAGAGTATAAAATAGAAAAATATTACTGATAATCCCTCGATCGAACGTAAGGATCGAATAAAACATTTCTTTTGTTTCTTTATTTATTTACAATTAAAATCTATTTTAATCGTCTTCCAATTTCGCCTCCTCATTTGTTATTTATTAATATGTCTTTGTTTCCTGTGCTCGCCAAAGTTCACCTTTTGGGAAAGTGTTGGCCGAAAGGAATCCCGTCAAGGTAAAATAATGACGTCCATTCTATTTAAATCTATTTTCTTATTCTGTGAGTACAAGTCTTTGTTTATATATACATACATACATATCTATCTATCTATCTATCTATCTATCTATCTATCTATCTATCTATCTATCTATCTCTCTCTCTCTCTCTCTATATATATATATATATTTGTGTGTGTAAATATGAAAGTGAATAGTGAAGTCGACACGCAGAGGGGACAGGCTGTTTCATGCTAGACGCAATCGTCTAGCATGAAGCATGAAACAGCCTGTCGCCTCTGCGTGTCGACTTCACTATTCACTTTTACACACACACACACACACACACACACACACACACACACACACACACACACACACACACACACACACACATATATATATATATATATATATATATATATATATATATATATATATAGCCTGATTGGGATTATACCTTTGTAGGGAATCTTTGTTTTTCTCCCTGAACAACGGGTGAAACATTGTGACAACAACAACAATAGATAGTATGTAAATAATGATAACTCATTATTCCAGAAAGTGAGGCAGAAACCTAAGCTAATTCTTCTATAAAGAAACTGTGATCGACTGAAGGAATGAGAATTAGCGAGATCATATTTGTGCAAAGTCTACTGCATTAACATTTGCACTATGCTTTCAAAAACAACAACAGCAAAAATAAACAGATACCAATCTCTTCGCGTTTATCCACCAATGAACTAACTAGCAGAACATAATGTGAGCTTTAATTTTTGTATGGTAGTCAGACGAAGAGAAGGATTCTTCCGTATTTAAAAGCAGGGAGAATAAATCGGTTGAACGTATTAGTGTGAAAAAAAAATTAAACGACACGTAAAATAGTGAACATATGTTTTAATATATTTTTCTAGGGATCTAATTAAATAAACCCCACCTTTTTTATTTGTATTCATTTATCGCCTCGTACTTCATTCAGCGGACATGCATATAAGTTTTCTACGACCTTCAATGTCTTTCCATCTAAAATCCTAATTCCATTAATAAAAACAATAGAAATTTTTCAGCATCTAGAAATAAATCGCTGGCCTACGTATTTCTATGAAACAAGTTATATAAAAATGAATTAAAATTCGACTATTAAAAAAAATCATTTAATCGCAAGCAAAGTGATAAATTCCACTAGGATGCAAGGGAACGAAACAGATAGGACAGTAAACGAAATGATTTACAGAGAAAGAACATGACGATTGGCATTGCATTTATATTTTTGAAAATCGTACCTGACAGGAAAGCCTGAAACCAGAAGCGATTCCCACAAGCAAAAAGTGCGAGTCAAGAAACTATTAATATAGTGTTTATGGTTATAGCTAGCAATTTCAACAGTTAAAATATGAGAAGTATTACTGCACTTAAATTCTTAAAGGCTAAGTACCAACGAGTAAAGATCCTTAGAACAATTACCGTGAAAATGTCTATAAAATAAGCAAAGCGAATCTCGTCCCGACGTTGAGAATGTCACTGTACAATGATGACAGATCAGGACCGGCACTTTTTGGCGAGTTTTCATTGGGTTTTGTCAAGAATCTCAGGACACATGACAGAAGCACCAGACTAGATATGAAAATTATATTCAATGCATGGAAGAACGGCACACTTATAAATGAAATAGACTTGAAATATAAATTTTTGCAAGAAATAAATTCTGGAGGGTATAAAATATTCGAACAATTTTTCCGTTGGTCATTTTGTAAGTACGATTTTTTTATTATTTTTTTGGTTATTAAATGAGTGGCAGCATTTGTTGGGGTTTTTTTTCTTTTTTTTTTTATAGGGAACTATTTCCTTTCTTTTTCATAGACGTTCTTTTCATTTGCATTCTTTTTGTTATTTCATTATATTTCGTCTTCTCTTTATTACTTATTGTTAACACCTTTCTTTCTTCAGCTTTCTCTTATTTGTGATTGTTTAGCATTCTCTCTTTTATCGTTTTCGTTTTTTTATGCTTATCTTCTTTCCTTATTAATTCTTCATCATTTTTCTTTCACCATTTTTCTCTCGTTTTCTTTTTTCAATTTTCTTTCTCAATTTCCTTTTAGGCTCCTTATTTGTCTCATCTTTACTTTTTTTCTTTTCTCTTCTTTTCTTTGACGTTTTTTATCCTTTTTTTTACATTCTTCTTCCTTTTCTTTTGGGTTGTTTTTTTTACATTCTTTTCTCTTTTTTTCTGTTATTTTTTTCCTTTCTTTTCTTTTCATTTACTTTTTTCTTTTACATTTTTCTCTTTGTTTTTTTTATTTTATTTTTTCATACTTATTTTTCCTTTTACATTCTTTTTTCATTTACTTTCTTCTCGCTTACACTTTCTTCTTTGTTTTTTTTCTATTCTCTTATTTTCTTTTACTTTTTTATTTACTTTCTTTTTTCTTTTTCAAATTCTTTTCTCTTTTCATTTACCTTCATTGTCTTTTCTTTTACTTTCTTATTTCGGGTTACATTTTTTTCTTTCAATTTCTTTTACTTTTATCTCTTTTACTTTATTTTCTCTTTTGTAATTCGTTACACGTACTTAATACAAGTATAAACAGAAAGACATCAATGTAAAATAATAAAGTATTTAATTACCAAAGAAAATGAAACCACATTAACAACAAAGAAGGCAGGATGTGGAACAAGACCGATTTTTTTTTTAAAGTGGAGCGAATCGGAACCCATACGCACGGGCAAAAATATGCGGGGTCTGCGCAGTCGTGTTGGTCTACCTCCCCAGACGAGAGACTTTGTGTAGGCATCTGAGCTCCTCACTGCTCGAAGGCAGAGAGTTCAACACGTAATTGGACAACACGTAATAGTAATCGCCCATTCAGTGGCATGGTATCTCTATTTATAGTAAATGGCGGTCTATATTTTCATTTAGAGATTCAGGTCTAAACTCTGGTGTCAGCAATGACACTTTTCATTCATATATGACACTTTTACTTTCTTTTCTCTTCTTTTCATTTACATTCTTTTGTCTTTTCTTTTAATTTCTTTTTTTCTTCTTTTCTTTTCTTTTCTATTCTCTTTTCTTTTTTTGTATGTTTTTTATTTACATTTTTTCTCTTCTTTTCTTTTTTCTTTTCTCTTTTCTTTTACTTTACTTTCTTTTATTTTTCCTTTCTTTACATTTTAATTATTTTTTTCTTTTTCATTTTCTTTTTCTTTATTGACCTTTCCTTTTGGTTTGCGTTTTCATTTTTTTGCTAAATTTTCCTTCTTAACTTTCGTTTGTTTTTCCCGTCTTCATCATAACATTTTTTCTTTTATCCTTTTTGAGATATTTTATTACTTTACTCCATTTCTTTTTCTTAATCTTATCTTTCTTTTACTTTCTTTTCTCCCTTTCTTTCCTTTTCTTCTTTTTTCTTTTATTTTCTTTTTCTCTTCTTTCTATTACTTTACTTTTTTTATTAGTTTTCCTTTTTTTTCTTGTTTTTGTTTTGTTTTCTTTTTTCAAATTTATTTATTTTCGATTATTTATTCGTTCTTTTTTTCCATTCGCCTTAGTTTTGTTTCTCTACTTATATGTTTTTCTTGTTTCTTTTTTCTCCTGTTTATTTTTTAATATCTGATTGGTGCATAGTTATCACGCGTTTTAAACAGTATTTAGCATTAAAATCGCCTGATAACTCTGCACCAACTCAATATTTGTTCAATTTTCCCCTTTCTGTTTTTTCTTTATTCTTCTCTATATTTATTTCTTTCTAATTACTTATCCTGAAATCCACTCCATTTTTTATTTTTCATTTATCCTTCTCATTTCTATTTTTGCTCTCATTTCCAGGAAATCTAATTCCGGTTTTTATTTCCTTTCTCTCTGGCCATTTTGAAAACTTTTCATCCTACATTCCTTTGACAGCCGGTCTTCGCCTTGTTCTTTTCGAATCGGTTCAAAGCAACCACTTCAGACAAAGGGATTGCAGAAAAAAAATTGGCTTGAAATAAGTCACGTGTCTTTCCTTCACAGCTGATATCTATATCCGATGCCGCTAGTGCCATTCACTTCAAGATCACACGAGATTGTCGAAGGCAAGACGTCACGACGCAATCATTCTTTCGTTAAGATAATCTGAAAACAGTAATATAATTAAAATAAAATAAAAATGTTGGCCGCATGGACACGCGCATTTTTTCTGTTTTCAATTGTCCCAAATATTTCTCAGTACAAACGAACATTTGTAGTAGTAAAACAATCTAAATTATAAAAATAACCACAAATTAATAATAATGTAAAGAATGCTTACTAAAAAGATGATACACACATATCCGTTATAGTGATATAAAAAATGGACACGTGACCTCTATCCACTAAATAAATAGATTAAAACAAAGTAACATAGAAATCTAAAAAAGTCAATTCACAGGCAACTTTCTAACCTACAATTCTACACCAATAAATGTACCAGTACACATATTTTGTTAAATGTATGTTTCTGCAATTATACTTGCAGAGTTAGAGAGACAGACACACACAAGATAAGCACAGAACTCTCATTAGAATTTGAACAAACTCACTGCAAATGGACTCGTGAAAATCTAAACTATATATTCAAAGAACATAAAATTCAAAATATCGGGAAAAAAAATCACCGCATTCCATCGTTAGACTGCGAAACGTTTCAAATTTTAAAAGGTTTTCTGAATTGTGGTAAATTTAATTACAAACACACACACACACACACACACACACACACATACACACACACACACACACACATATATATATATATATATATATATATATATAAAAGTGTACATTGAAGTATAGACGCAATGGTCGGTTTGACGATTACATCTAGCATGAAACAGCCTGTCGCCTCTGAGTGTTGACTTCAATGTTCACTTTTTATATTTATATTTACATAAGCTCTATCTCTGATACTGAGCACTTTATCCCGTAAATATAGCATACCTTAAAACTATATTTCTTCATATATATATATATATATATATATATATATATATATATATAATGTTTATGTTTTAATTCAGGAATGTTTGGTTAAATACTTTAAATGTATTATGTCTATTTTAAAATCTATTATGACTTAATCCTTTCAAGTTCACGAATTAATTACTTGGTGGCTGTAGATAATTGATTAAAAAAACTTTTCTTTAAGGTCATTTTATTTTCCCAATTACTTTCAGTCTCATCTGAGACTATCTTCGGGGTTGCGTATCTATGGATGTGTTAACACTGTCAATTCAAAATTATTTTTACTGTTGGAAATCATGAAGAATAGACTTACTTGTGTGGAGCACCGATGTCGACCGGGATGTCTTAAAGCGCTAACTCCTCATTTTCCTCCGCTTTAGTAGCCTTCCATTTGGAATGGCGGAAAAGTTGAGAGGCAGAGTTATATTTTAAAAACCTCTTCACCTTATACTCACAAACCTTTTGGCCGACGGTGAAACAAGTTGTTATTATTGTTCCTGTCTGTTATTAATGTGTTTACCTGGCCCTAGGGAGTCGCAAAGGAAGAATGTTTTTTTGTGCAACCCAATCATTCACGCTTGTCCTTTCAATCGAATTTATTTTCGCCATTACCTCTATGGAAGGTAGGTAACTTATGTGATTTAAAAAAAAAAAAAAAAAGATTTAAATCTTTTTTTAATAAATGATTTTTAATTGTAGTATTTTAATTTAGTATTTTTTATATAACACTTTGCTGCTACAAACATTTAAGAACTTTATTGCTATACTCGTAGTTGAGGGCCGCAATTCTCTTATATAAAGGGCTTCTAGAAATTTAATTTCTAGTAGGATTTGATAGCTGAAAACTTCCTAAAACAATTGGCGGCTACAGACAGGTTACATGTATGGAACCATAAAAATATATATCACAAATTCCTACAACTGTTTACCAACTAACCAAAGTTATTAATCAACTAATTACACCATATATACACAATAAATACAGCATTAAATCAACACAGAAATTATATAAAATTTTCACAACCCCCAAACTTAATAATGAATCCATAGCCTCACTTGACGTTGAAAGTTTATTCACCAGCATCCCAGTAAGAGAAACGATAGATATAATCATAAAGAATATCTACAACAACCCATCATTCCCTCCATTAAAAATTAGTCCTAATATTTTAAGAAAACTTCTCTTGATGTGCACCACAGATGTTCGTTTCTATGCCAATAAAAATAACATATTCCTATAATGCGATGGTGTTTCTATGGGTTCCATCTTGGGGCCAACATTTAGCAACTTCTACATGACTTATTTTTGGGAATTGCTTGTCACATTGTTGGCTTGGGGATGTTATCATGGTCTAATTAATAGTTTGCTGTCAGTATCTATGTTCACTGAACTCTAACGCTCCTAAAGTTTGACAACACAATCTTATGATCATCATTCTTTATCGCGGAAATGATTATGCCTGATCACATGATTATAATCAACCAATTAGATTGCATTTCAAGCAGATATCAATCTGGTACAGCTTTTTTTCTGCATAAAACCGAAAGACTTCTCCAAATCTAATCAGATGCATAACCACAAGTCTCACCATCACAATCTAGATTTTGAAAATCATAGAACTGAAACCGGTAAAATTAGTCGAATATATATTCTAAAATACTCCAGTCGCATTTCAACTTTTTATATATATATATATATATATATATATATATATATATATATATATAGATAGATAGATAGATAGATAGATAGATATTATTCCGTTGGTATGATACAGGCGACTCCCATTAACACAACATAGAAATATATTAAAACTGACTCACGAAAGGGTCCTCAATGTTTATTTTCATTAAACAGAGCAAATTTTCTTTACAATTGAAATTAAGATACCGTTAGTAAATGACCATTTTCACCTACGGATTTTTATTTTAAAATTCACAAGATTTTTTCAAGCTGCTTTCTAGTGTACTGATGTATTGTTTATTTGGAGAGAGAGAGAGAGAGAGAGAGAGAGAGAGAGAGAGAGAGAGAGATAGGGGACTTATTATTGGGAAGTATGGGGAGAAGAAGAAACACCGTTGTTACTGGTATCATATTATATAGAGGTAGGAGAGCCCTTAGGAGGAGGGGGGGGACCGAGAGTTGACCATCATCCTAATTATGATATATATATATATATATATATATATATATATATATATATATATATATATATAAATAATAATAATAATAATTAATTCATTAAGTCTAGAAGAATCCTCAGCAAAATGCAGAAGGCACTGAGCGGCCTTTCGTCTTATTCATCTTATTTTGGGATTCATCAGCAATGCGCATCTACTACAGAGAATCGAACCCGGACTGTTACGATATGACGCAAGCGTAATACCCATTGGAGCGTCAGTATAAATAGACTCGGACGAGTCACACGAATTTGTGAAGATCTGGCGATATATCGAGTCTGGTTTGACGCGTTGGTCCAGTGGGTATGACACTTGCGTCATATCGTAATAGGATTCGGTTCTCGTTATTGGATACGCACTGCTGATGAGTCCCAAAATAGGACGAAACGGCCATCCATT